TGAAAATGTACTTAACTGCATAAGCAGACAGTTGGCAGACTAAAAATCCCACCTTTATCTGCTTTAGTCAGACACCAGTTATGGTAATTCAGTAAATCAGATCATTTCAGTTGTCTAGCTGTAGTCTAAATTTCAGAGGACCTCACAGTTCCAGAGAACCTTGCTGATTCAAAGAAACTGGGGGGCAAAATTCAGAAAAAGAACAGTAGGATGATCCTTTATCTAGAAACTTAAGACCCTATGAAGAGAAACTGAAAGAGCTAGATATATTTTATCTTGAGAAAATAAAACTCAGGCTAGCATTCTTTAACATCGGCAATAATTCTCATAATAGGAAAAAATATCTGGGGTTTTTTGGTTCATAGGATAGGACATGGAATAATGGTATGTATGATAAGAAGGCAGATCTTTATTAAAAGCGGGGAAAAACCTGGTTAGAGTTATTCAACATTGAATCGTTTTTCCAGAAATAAGATTCAAGTTCCTTTCATAGATTATGTTCAGATGAGAACTAGACATACATTTGTCTGGACTGCTTTCACACTGAATTCCTGCCCCAAGCCTCAAACTGGATTACATAGACTAATTGTCTCCTTTCAGCTCTACAATTCATCCCTCATCAATTCACTGTGCAGGGCATGTAGAAAGTGAAGTGTCTTTCTCTTATCTAGCAATCTCATAAAGGGAAGGTTTATGAAGGGCAAGCGGGTTTCCCCCCCACCCAACCCAACAGGGACATGAGAAAGACTGCCAGAAGACAGAGGGCGTAACTTCATCTTTCCCCTCCCAGTTTCCTTTTTAATACTGGTTAGAAAAAAACGTTGGCCATTTTCTTCTTAAACAAATATATGGAAAAGTGACTGATTTACTTTTAGTTCATCAGTCTGCTTGATAGAAGGATTGTTTTTTTAGCATAGCCTGCTACTTTTCTGATCTATCCATTTAGATAACCCATAAAGTAAAACAGACAGTAAATGTAGCACCATGGAAAGCTCCTAATGAATATTTTACTGTAGAACGTATTAGAAACAAACTGAAGTGTTACACACACACACACACACACACACACACACACACACACACAGACATTATAGGTCTATTCTTAAAGAGTGAAAATTCATAAATTGCCAACCCGCTCCCTGAAAATGGAGGAGTATCTTGTTTCTGATTGTTTTTACCTCAAGTATGGAATCTACTTGACTCCATAAGTAAGTCCTGAAGATCCTGTTTACTAGCCTCTTGTGAGATGTTCTGCAGGACCACAAGCACCTACTCCTCTTCCTTCTCCTAAGTGTTGAAACTTAACCCTGCAGGCATGAAAGCTAAGAAACAAGCTGCTTCTTAGTAGGATATCAAGCTTCCCTAGTCTTATACAAGGTACCAGCAGTCAGTGATCATGTAGGAAATCATTGAAACTAAAAAGAAAAACCTGTACATATTTTCAGACCAGAGTAAGAAAATTCTGAAAGCTAAAATATGTATCATATAGTGAGTGAATAAATATGCTGGGAAGGGATACATTTTTTCTCCAGGCAAACTAGAGAAAGGGAAGGGGAGAAAAATAAGTTAAAAGACAGAAGAAACCTTTTTTCCTTTGTTTTCACAGAAGCTTAGGCAGCTCAGCCATAAGGCTGGTGAGACATTTTAAGGAAAGGCTTTGTTGTCTTCTGCTACCATCTAGTGGTTTGCAAGGAAACATTTTAAAATGCAAATTTAAAATGCAAAATTTTCCTTCTCCTATATGGTATCCGATCAGCATTACCCACATTTAATAAATAAAATATATTGCAAATGAGGCATATCTTTCTAAAAAGATTCCAAATATATTACAATGCATCACTGCTGTAAATATTTACTTTGGAATATTTACAATGTTTGGAAATGAAAAAGCAATCATCAAGAAAAGCATTGGATATTGTTTTCATGTTGCAACAATTTTTACCTCTTTCCTTGATGATCTCCAGATTACTTTTCCAATAAGTAGGCAAACAGAACTCTTGTAACAAAAATGCATCCAGATTACATCAGATTACTCTCAAACATAGTCTCTGCTCATTGTTAATCTCAGAATGGTGACTGCTCTAACTTTTGCTGTAGTTTTATGAATGGGCATGAGGAATTCCCTGCCCTGTCTATTAACAATACTGTTAGTTTCAATATCATTGACAATGGGATTTTCCTGTGTATTTTCCTGTGCTCCACAAAGACATCCAAATGAAAACTGTCACTGTCACTTATATTAGGGAACCTCTAAGAATCTATCCCTACTGTCAATTTCTGCCCTGACTCCAAAGAGACCAAACCCTAAGCCTAAGCCTAGTTTCATTTCATTAGCAGTGGGATTTTCCCATGTATTTTACTGTGGTCCACAAAGAAGTTCGAACGAAAAGCTGTCACCATCTCTTATGTTAGAGAATCTCTAAGAATCTATACCTGAGATCAATTTTCGATGGATAATTTTTTTAAAAAAACCTGAAGGCTAAAATCTAATATCAACAAAACTGAGGTCACCTGTTTTTATTTGAACAATATAAAAGCTAACTATACACCAAAAGTGGAATCCAGGAATTAGTTGTTGAAATTTAATCGTAATCCAAAGCATTTAGGAATGACCCTTGGTCTGTCCTTAACCTATAGGAAACACTTAAGAAAAACCATTGATAAAATAAAAACCAGGAACAATATTCTACATTGCTTTGATATAGTCTCTATTGCTATTTATATACAGCCAAGTGCTGTAGCCATGTATGGTTAAACATTGCCCACACAAAAGCAGTGGATTCCTATCTTAACCACACTATGAGGGTAATATTAGGAACTATTACGGTAAATCAATGCCTTCTGAATGACTACCGGTATTATCTAACATACTACCCCAGAACCTAGAAGGCAATCAGTCTTAAAAAGGGGGTGGTAAAAATGTGAGGGAAAATTATTTTTACTTATGAGCAATTATTCAGACTCAATCTTGGAACTTGTCATGGAATTAGTCAGGACAGCAATTAGTCAGAGAAGACTCTGACATTGAAATAGCATGACGCCAGAAGTGGGCAACTTCTCACCCAGATCTGTCTGATCCAATACAATGTGCCCTTTGGCTTTGATTTCCCAAGAAAAATATGGACAGCACTCCAGTCAAACCAACCATGGCAGGTGCCAAGACTGGAAATATAAATGGGGGCTGGTTGATAATCTTATCTGTGTCTGTGGGAACATTCTGCAAACTTTACATCTTATTGCAATGGAATGCCCCTTCAGCAGTATCCCTGGATCCCTGCATGAAATGCATCATCTTGAGGGTACTGCTGTCCAATGGCAACCAAGATATCTGGTCATAGGTTTAGTCACTGCAGTAACTGCATACATAATTCTGTTCAAAATTGTATTGATCACTCCCACGGAGTGTTTTTAAAATAATTCATTGCTCTAGTGTTTGTATATTTTTATGGACTAATGCTGTATTCTATTATACCATATGAAATGCTTATATAGTTTTCTTCTGATCTATCTGGCTGAGTTGGGACTTAGGGGCGCTATTTTGCAGTGGTTCTGATATTTTCTGACAGAGCATATCCAGGTGGTGGTGCTGTGGCGCTACAGTTCAATACATTGGCTGAGGCTCCATCATGTCCCATGGGGTTCTTTGTGTGTGTGTTCTGGGCTTTATATAGATATAGATGAAACTGCCGAGTGAGATATTCAGAGTTTTGGAATGGGTTACTATCATTATGCTGATGATACCAATACTCTGGCTTACTCCTTCCCACCACCTAACCCCAAGAAAACAATTGGCAACCCTGAACTCAGTAATAAACAAAATGAAAGAGAACAAGTTGAAATTAAATCCAGACAAAATAGAAGTATTTCAAGTAAGGAAAAAGCTGCACTTGAGAACTGAGGTGAAGCCTGTCCAGACATGGATAGCTGAGACAAGAAGCACACATGCAACTATTCTTAAGCGGCAATTATCCATGCCTTGGTTATATTCTGCTGTCCCTGTTGCATGACTACTGTTTTTTCTGCGAAGCTGTTTCCAGAAGGGTTCAGAAATTGCTAACTAATACAGAATGTAGTTGTTTGGTAGCTAACTGGCAGATGTTACTGGGATTGTAAGACCTCTATAGAAACATTTTTACTAGTTTCGAGGCATTTATTGGGCATCAACTAAATGATACCTATAAGCCTTACATGGCACGGGGCCACACTATACCGTATGTAGGACCACCTTTTTGTGATTATGCATGAATTGAAGATCCACCTCCCACTACTACTAAAATTAATCTATGTGAAACATAGGAGGGAATCTTCTTCTGTGTGGCTCCAAGACCTTGGATGGCATTCTCCAAGAAGAGGTATTTAACTCTCGCAGCATTCAGTAAAATGGTTAAAAAATACCTCACCATTGTTCCAACATTTTTTTGTTTTGTTATCTGAACTGGTTTAATTTCACTGATTTTAAATTTTACCTAAAGTTTAAATATATTGTTTTTATTTTTGTATCTTATAATTTGCATTTTAACTGTGTAAGCTTTGATTGTTATAACTATTGGATGTGAATGAAAGAAAGATAGGAAACAAAAGTTTTAAAGAGCCTGTTTTTCTTTTGTTTTGTAAATTTGTATTTCCTTGTAGATCTGATATGATCTTTCCCACATTATGGTTGGAAAAATATGATTACATAGTTATGATAATAGATGTTTAAGAGAGTTTAAGGCACCAGGTTAGAAAGCAGGAAACTGAGTCTGATCCCTGCTTAGTCATGAAAGACGGCTGGGCAGCTTTGGACCAGGTTTCTCAATCCCACATCTCACATGGTTATTCTTGAGGGGAAATTAGGAAGAGGACGGAGTATTAGGTATGTTCAGGGGAATATGAGTTATTTATAAACACAATAAAGGCTGGATATATAAAATAAACAAAGTGCTTTCATTTTTATAAAAATAACAGTGAATTTAACAGATACATCGAATTATAAAAATTCTTTGACCGAATGTCCTTACCATTCTGTTCCTCTAATTCATTTCCAATTTCCTGTCCCATTTGTTTTTGGCGAGATAAGATTGAAGAGAGTGCCTCAAGACCAGAATCTTGTTCTAAAGAAGAAAGCAAAAAAGCTCAATGAATATAAAATTTAAGTTAATAAATCCTAGATTTATACATAAAGATTGCTGAGGAAATGGCCAACACTAGGTTAAAATGAAAGAAAACCTGCTAATGGCCAGATAATAAATTGAAAAATCAAATCTTACTAAACTAGAATAAATACAAGCTGTTAAGTTGATTGCCAGAACAAAAAAATCAAGCACCAACATTTTAGATAACACATTTTCTAACAGCTGCGCAACTCTTTCTTGTATGGGGAGTGTATGTGGTATGTATGTGTTTGATTGAATGATCCCACACTTTTAATTTAATGCATTTTTTATTAGTATTTTATTGTATCATTGTATTTTAATATTAGTGGGGTATGCATGTGGAGAATGTCTGGCCGGTATGTGTAGGGAGATTGAGAGTGCAGCCCAGAGCCCCCTCTACTGAGTGCAGAAGCAGAAGTGGATAGGGCCCCAGATCCGCCTCTCGTCCCAGAGTGAATGCTATGAATGGCCTGCCGGGGAGAACGGGGGCCATGGGATGGGAGGAGGGGTCTACGGTGATGGGGGTGGGCTGGACCATCCCGGTTACGTTTGGGAGAGGCAGGTATGACGGGAGTTACAGGGGTAGCTATTACCGGGGAAGGAGGGTTCGCTACGTCACAGCAATCCCTTCTTCCGGCCCTGATAGCTCAACTCTAGAACCAGGTGGCAAGAGATGTCAGGGCCCTGGTCTCAGGTCTGCCAGGTCTGTGATTCATAAAGCTCCCCTTGTCCGGGACTTAATATTAGATGAGGGGGCAGACCTGGCATGTATT